GGGGTTAGGGTCATCGAATTTAGTGTACCACTTAGCGGAGTTTCCCGATAAACAAGCTTCTTTGGCTCTAGAATTTCCAGTTTGATGAAGTGGTCTTCTAGGTCTGCCACAAATTTTTCATTATCGTCGAGTTGTAGTTGTTTTGCCAGTCCTATCAATGGGTTGATGATGTTTGTCAAGTCCATCTTGTTGACGACAGGTTCCGCTGTTTGCATCTCCGGGTTCATCGTAATGGTAGGTTCCTCTTCTTCGGAAGAGCTGCTTGGTGCTTCTCGGTACGTTATTGAGCGGGATTGATCCGCAATACGTAAACTTCTTCTTAGTTGTGAGGTAGAAATTTTCGGCATCAGTGCAGAGGAACGTTGGGAGCCAATTGTTGCCGGGATGAGGGGGAGAGGGAACACGTGATGGAGTCAAATTCTCAAAAACACTTAACTTGGTTTTTTGTTTACAATATTTTTTTACACAAGATTAATACAGCAACGATATTTGTAATCTAATGTCCTGTGGGTCGAACGACCTTCCTTTTAATCTCAGCTCCATGAATGCCCACCAATGGGGTGCGTCCGACTATTCGACGCGGTCTTCCCAGTGTTGGAAGGGATGGTAACCATGGCAATATTTTGAACATTTCGGTTTCGGTATCCAATTGTCCTTTTTCTTTATTAGATCCATTCCTATCAACATATCATAAGATTGGGAAAAATCAAACAAAAAAATACATGATCCTTGTTTTCTTCTTTAAATATATTGCGCCGGGTATCGGCGCTTTTATTGCCTTACTCCCTCGTTCTACACAGTGTGGCGTTTGAATTGCAAAATTTTCGATAATGGAATATTCTTGCATTTGGTCAAATATAAAAGTAAGTTATCGTTATATTGGTTCTTGGTAGATGCTGATTGACATAAAATTTAGATTTGGAATAAAGATATACTAATGTGCACTTAAACAATGAATTTTAGTTAATACTAATTGTACCTTGACCGGTTTCGCCTTTTTTTAAGGCATCTTCAGAAGGCTTCCTATTACAAAAAAATATATTGTTATAATGTTGTATTCTTAAAAAAGATTAAACTACATGTTGTCTGGTTACAATTAAAAAAACTTACGTCAAATTATCGAATATTTGAAAACTTGTTGCGTTGTTTCGTAGAAAACATATTACAATCAATAATTACACTAAATAACAAGAAATTATCACCAAATTATGACAGAATTATGCAGTACTATCGAATGATGTGTGATGGTCAGTGGTGGTGAAAACACGTTGTACATTTGTTGACATTTAAGAGGTTATGCAGGTGACAAAACTTTGAGAAATGAAATACGAGCGTGTTATTCTAGACTTCTCGCGCATGCGTATTGATTTTACTCAATAGCTCATAAAGTGTAGGTTTTAGTCTGGCAGCGAAAGACGCAACATTTTCTCCAAACTTAGGCAGGGTGTTGTTGAGTTCATATGCCATCACAACTTCTGATCTTTTATCTCCAAATTGTGCAATAAAATAGCCTTCAATTCTGGCCATGTATCGGGTTTTTTGTTTGCGTTCAACGCTTCCCGTGCTCTTTCGTCGAGCTTTCCTTTAAATATCATAAGAAGCTCTTTTGCAGTGTCCAGGTCGTTAGGGTTTCTTAAAAATCTACATATTTTGATAAGTATTCACAAGTGTCTACATAATTAACCAAGGTGTTCTTATCGCCATTGAAGACCGGTATCAGGTTCTGATGAATCTGTTTAATTTCGTTCGCCATGGTTGTATTATTTACTTCATTTTAAATTTGTTGTATCTCCGCAAGGAGGTCGTTGCAATTGAATGAGTCGATTTTGGAAAATTAAGGTGAACAGACACAAAAGAAAACGGAAAGGATGACCAAAAATAAGTGTACTCACAAGATCATACAGATGGCAACGGCTGCTTTCATTATTCCCGTATCCACACTATTAGGAATCCAAATCGAATGGGTTGTCCGTTTAGGCACTTATTGAATCGTTGTTTCGAACTAAAAAGTTCCCGTTCACTCGCGTTTCACAATTCACACGAATTCACGTTCAACGATCTATCCTCGTCGCCAATTAACTGTCCGCTTCGAAGACGCGGAATAAAAATAAAACACGTTAATTAATTGTTTATTTTAAGAAAACGTTTAAAATTATTAATAGATTCACAAACAAAACTAAACTACGTAAAATAATTAACTTAAATTTACTTTCTCAATTAGGATTGATAACGAAAGATACTCAATTCCGCAGATGAAAATGAGGAATTAAGTCGCGAGTCTTATAGTCGCGGAGTTACAAGAATTTTAGCGTAACTTCGATTACGAGTTATGGTGGGTTTAGGATGTCAAACTTAACCGTAAGCGTAGCCGCAGCCGTAGTCGTAACCTTAAGGCTGGTTTCACACTGGAACCGACTACGTAGGACTGTTGGTCGTACGTAGTCGCACGACTACGGACGAATTTTCCGGACTATGTGAATATAATGAGCGCTCTCACACTGGATCCGAGTCGGTCGTGCAAAGATGAAAGGTGCGTATATAAATTTTGTATTAATTTTTAATGATAAATTTACGTCAAGATACATGAAGGAACCTACTTATGATTATACTGATTATACAAACAATTAATTTATAAAGGATTGTTAACAAAAAAAATCTTGAATTGTTCTCGAATATCATATGCTCTTCTAGCAGCACGATTTTCACCCAAAGTACTTGCTCTATTAGTGGCTAGGTTCTGTTGAGAGCAGTTGGGTGTGGGCACGAAATTCAAAGGTATTCTCTCTCTATCAATAATAATGTTATGAAGCAAACATATGCATTTAATGATGGAATCAGCTCGTTCGGACTCAACTTCGATGGCTTTAATTAACAGTCTCCACTTGCTGGCCATTATGCCAAATGCACATTCAACGACCTGTCTAGCCAATGATAAACGCCCATTGTAAATATCTTCTTCATTTCCTGCTTTCTTCCGAGGGTAGGGGGGCATTAGGAATGTTTTTAAAGGGTAGGCCTCGTCTCCTATCATTACATGAGGTAAAAACAGTTCAGTACCAGGTAATTGCCGCTCAGACGCAACATTGAGTGAACCATTTTGTAACTTTCTTGACAAATTTGAATTCGAAAATATTCAACCGTCACTCTCTTTACCATATGCCCCCACTTCTATTGCTATAAATCTATAGTCTGGACCAACAACAGCTTGCAGAATAATAGAAAAAAATTGCTTATAATTATAGTGTAAGCTGCCTGAGTGTGAAGGTGCTTTAATACGAATATGTTTCCCATCGATGGAACCTATACAATTTGGGAACTTCCATCGCCTCCAAAATCCTTCTGTAATGCTGATGGTCTCTTCATTTGATGGGAATTTCATGTGCATCCCCATTAGTTTTCGCCAAATTGCTCTGCACGTCTCATGCACAATCCCACCAACTGTATTGTTAGCGATTCGGAAAGAATATCAAATACTTTTGAAAGATGATTCTGTGGCCAAATATCTGAAACAATTTTTTTTTTAGTTGAAGAACTGAAGAAGAAATGGAGAGGTCTAAGAGACATATTCAGAAGGGAATACAAAAAAACTACCACGCATAGGTCTGGTGACTCAGGAGAAGAGTACATCCCTAAATGGCCTTATTATAAAATAATGGTTTTTCTCAAAGATACAATAACTTCAAGAGACTTGAAAGGTAGCGTTCCTGATGAATCAGAGTCCGACCTTGTGCGTGATTGTCCCACAGAAGATGATAGTGAATCCAATCACCATCAACCATCACAAGTTAGGTCACCATCACCACAAACCCAAATGCCACCAATCTCTCGACATGTTTTCAAGTCACCGCCAAAGAAGGTAGCCAAAGGGCCGAAGCACCCATCTAATTTCGACGAGAAACTCCTCCAAATCGAGGAAGTTCATCCTCACTAGGTCCAACGTACACGGTCCTACAAAACACATCTCCAACCCCTACACCATCTAATCAGCAGGGACTTCATGCATTTTTTAAAGATTTTGATCCTGTACTTGTTCATCCCCTAAACAATGAAGATGTTCACTAAATTTGTAGGTGTGGTAATAGAATGTAAGCTTAAAGTTAAGTTGTTTCTGTTAAATATATAATAAGTTTTAATGTTTTGTTGTTTATTAATGACTACTCACCTCAGCGTAACAGCCAAACGCTCTTCAGGTGATATCACTCGGCGAAAGTTGCTGTGTTTTGTCAGCTCAGGTTTAACTTTTTCCAGAATATAGTTGAACGTGTCCAAACTCATACGGAAGTAGTCGAAGAATTTGTTGGGATGATTCTTCAAATCATCCATTAAATGGTGAAACTCGCCATGCTCTTCTCTCTTCATGAATATATGGTGAACCCATTCTGTTCTTCTTGAACGTCGTCTTCTTCGCCTCAACAACAAACTACTACTTTCAAGCAGGTGAAACAACCCATTCATCTTTAAATACCCACAAATTTAAGACAAACTGGATCAAAATTCAACAGAACCACTTCCTGTGAACTAACGAACTGTGGATTTACGACTCCGACAAGTATACTCTAATGTGAGAGCTCAAGTCGTACGACCAACTTGACATTAGTCGTCCACAGTCTGTAGTCGTACGTAGTCGGTTCCAGTGGCCAATTCCCTTAGGCTGGTCTCAGCCTAAGGGAATTTATGCTTAGCGCTGACCGGTTTAGGGAACGACTTTAAGGATTTTAAAAATTTTACTTTACGTGATGTGTTGCCAACAAAAACCAGAAAAATAAGCAAATTTTATTATTTGTGGTTGGTAGAATGGTGTACTTTTAGCTTTCTACTCTGTTTACGTGTTGATAACTGTTTTGGATTTTATTTTTGTGTATTATAGTTTAGTGTTAGATTTCGCGTTTTGCATTTTATTTTTATAAGTTTTATTTAATATACAGTTTAGTGTTAATTTTGTATTAATAGGTGAGTTGTATTTTTCGTCGATTTAATAGAATGTACAGACTGTTAACAGCTTGATATTTTCAGTTATCCAGATTTTTTGTATATATTTTTGTTATGGATAAGAAAAAAAAATACTTCTTGCTACCACACCAATTTTGGCTGCATCTGCAACCGTAGCTTTTGGCAAAAGAGGCATAAGAAAGCAACGAAGGTTTTTTAGACGACCAGTAAACCAAAACCGCGATGTCGAGGGAAATTTTGCAACACTAATCAAACAAATGATTGAAAAAGAAGAAGACAACAATGAATTCTTTAAATATTCGAGAATGTCTTTTGAAGAATTCAAGGATTTATTAAAAACAGTGGGGCCTCATCTAGAAAAAACTTCAAAGCGAAAGGCTTTATCACCAGCCCTTCGATTAATTATTACATTGCAGTAAGCACAAAATAACCTTTGCAATTATTAATAATTTTTCAAATTATTTTTTACATAAGTTTTAACGTATTTAAATTATTTTCTGCAGTTATTTAGCCGAAGGTTGTTCCATGCAAGAAATGGCATGGAATTACCGGATTGGTAAAACAACAGTCCATTGTATCCTTAAGGAAACAACAGCAGTACTTTGGAAGGTTTTGCAACCATTGGTGATGCCACCACCTACAGTGGATGCATTAAAAAAAGTTGCAGATGATTTTTTGTTGAAATGGCAAGTTCCTAATTGCATAGGATCAATCGATGGGAAGCACATCCATATCCAGACACCCAAGAAATCCGGGAGCGAATTTTATAATTACAAAAATATTTTCAGCATAGTCCTGATGGCTTCAGTAGATGCTGATTATAATTTTATAGCTGTTGACATTGGAACCTCAGGACGAAATCACGACAGCACTGTGTTTCGCAACAGCGCATTAGGAAGTGCATTATTAAATGGAATTCTTCCCATTCCTGCACCAAAACCGCTCCAAGGGAGCAATATTGTGTTGCCACATTTTGTTTTGGGGGATGCTGCATTTCCATTGGCAGAAAACATTATGCGTCCTTACCCAGGACAATATTTAGGAGTGGAGAAAAACGTTTTCAACTATCGTCTGTCAAGGGGAAGGAGAACAGTTGAAAACGCCTTCGGAATATTATGCCAACGGTGGAGGAGTTTAAGAAAACCAATTCTAGCATCTACAGAAATGGTTGAACAATTTGTACAAAGTACCGTTGTTCTACATAACTATTTAAGAAGACATCGGAATGGTGGAAGTTATTGCAGTCAGGCGTATGGGGATCAAATTGGAGAAAATGGGCGAATTATTGCAGGGCAATGGCGAACGGAGGAATTTTCCTTTAGAAGGGTGGGTCGAATGGGCAGCAACAATCCCGCAAGAATGTTCATAAGAAATCGCGATTTGTTATGCAACTATTTTAATAATGAAGGAGCGGTACCATGACAATTGGAATATGTTATGCGACTAAAATAAAAGACATTCAATTTAATTTGATTATTTTTACAAGTAGGTATTGTATAAAAATAAAAAAAAATTAAAAAAAAACATTTTTATTTTGTATATACTAAATAAAATATTAACTAGTAAAGTCTAATAACGTTTTGTTTTATTTACAATAATTTTGCTAATTTATAATATAGTACCTCTGTCTGAATAAATAGTATACATTTGCAGTGCTGGCTTTAAATATTATTTTAATTAATATGGGACACCTTAATATGGTGTCGTGTTTCTATCACAATTTCAATTTTGAAAAAAAGTGATAGAAACACGACACTACGCTTTAAACTGTGTCGATGTGCTAAATATCACATTCATCGTATTTGTTCTTTAGTTGTCCTATAAAACCCACTTCTAAACCAAACCAGCACAATACAACAAAACAAAAATTTAAGGTAACATTATGGAATTACGTTTTCTTCTTCCAGCAGGCGCAATATTTCCACCCTGAGTTTTTTTGAATATTGGGGGGTTTTTCGTTAAGCAAGTTTGTTACTAGCTTTCCAAAAGTTATATTAGTTCAATCTTCTTCACGAATAATGTCGGTTATTTGTTCCATTGATTTTGAAACGGTGTCGGCAAGGTTTTCTTTTGCGTCTTTTTTCCTTTGCCTTTTTGGTGGAGGAGTCCAAAGCAGTTCGGATGCGGGTTCTGATGTTAAATGAGGTGGCGGATTTGCACAATTTTGTGAAGGTTGACATGATGGTTCATCAGGTAGTGGAAATAGTGGTTCAACTTCACAAGATATTGTTGACAAGGGAGACAATGATGACAAAGAAACTGTTGATGTGGAGGGTAAACTTTGTATACAAGAAGTGAAAGATGATGTTGTTTCCTTCACGTGAACGAAGGACCAAGTATTGCATAAGGCATATGGTTTAAAATATTTATTTATTTCTTTAATTACCCTTAAGTGTTCTAATATGGTGGAATGAAACCGTTCTATAGGACCGTTAGATTGAGGAGAGTTTACCGTAATATAATGCGTTTTTACTTTATGTGTTTTAAAGAATTCTTGGACTACCGTATTTTTTAGTTCTGTGCTATTATCCATAATTACTAAGAATGGTAAGCCGTGGTGAGACATACAAGTTACAAAAGCGTTGACAACTTCTATACCGGATTGATTATTCAAAACATAAGCTGAATCGATATGAACGATTTCAAATGGTTTACAAGGAGTGGGTGTCATTGTTAACTTTTGTTTTGGAGGGTTTCTATCATATTTCTTTGTTTGGCAAGTGTCACAAACATTGATAAGGCTAGTTACATCGTTCTTTATTGCTGGCCAATAGTATTGTCTTCTTATCCTGGTTTCTGTTTCCAAAATACCTCTGTTATTGGTCTTTCCTTCGTGATGATTTAAGATAATATTAGTCTGTTCATCTTGGTCCGTTACGTTCGTTAGAACCGTATTACATTTTACTAAATTGCAAGCACAATTTAGATGTATTTCACAGATGTTAGAAACATGTGACTCGTCTTTAAAATGAATCGCATAAGTAATCTTTGACTTAATATAATTCTTGAAAAGTCGATAACATCAAGCTCTTAATTTCTTTCCTGGTATTGGGAAGTGGCTAATTTTTAATAGCGGATATTTAAATATGTCTAAATAAGCGACGTCCTTTTTTAAAAACTCTGACTTGTCCAATTGTATTTTAAAATTAGTCTCTCTAAGTCGTTGGAAAATTTTATTTAAATTTACTACATGCTCCTGCAAGGAAGTTGAATAGATAATTATATCATCAAGATACACCAAACAAATTTCGTTTTGTAGTCCTCGTAATGTATTATCCATAACGCGTTGGAAAGTAGCCGGGGCATTTCGTAACCCGAAGGGCATTCGAACCTATTCGTAATGTTCGTTTTCGACGTTAAAAGCGGTCTTTGGTATATCTTCAGAATTCATTGCTATCTGATGGAAGCCGTTGGCCAAATCAAGGGTTGTAAAGTAATTACATCGACCTAACTTATCTAATACGTCCGCGATGTTGGGTAAAGGATAACGGCCTTCGATAGTCTTTTCATTAAGCTTTCGATAATCTACAACAATTCTCCATTGCGGATAGAGTATAGGATTCCACTAACCTGGACCGATTTGATCGGGGTCTGAATGAAAATTTGTCTGCTCGTCAATACGTTCTTCAGGGGTGGAAATTGAGTCCTCATCTGATTTGAAAAATAAGATGTTGGTGGTTTAAATTGGTGTTGATGAAAATTATTCTGATTGTTAGAAAGAATGTTGGGTGAATTGATAAACATGTGTGTGTTTGGTTTTTTAGCGACAATTGGGGCTGTAAACGTTTGCGATCTTGTAAACTGTAAAGCTTGTGCAAGGTTATCTGGTCTCATGGTTCTTATAGTAGACCCGAAAGATTCTCGTAAACCGGCTAAAAATGTTTTTAATGCTTACTTTTTGAAAAAATCGCGTTTACTGACTCTTCCAGCGTCATATTTTAAGTCAATGTAATTACAGACCGTATTAAGTAAATGAGTTACTCGTTCGTGAAATTGAGAAGGTGTTTCGTTAGGTTTTTGTCTCAAATTAACCAAATCTTGATTTAAACAATTTTCAAGACCATCGCGATGGTCTCCGAAATTTTGAATAAGGGTGCTTTTAATGTTATTCCAACTGGATGAACCGCCATTAAGAGCTACTACTTCTGCTCAACCTTCTAATTTATTTAATATGCCATTAAGCAATAGAACATTCTGAAAATTACCTGTATTTGCTGTATCGAAATAATGTGTTAATATTACTTCTGAAGCCTCGATAAATATATGCAATTTATTCGGATTTCCGTCAAAATTAGTTATTATACTGAGATTTTTTATATCTAATGCTGGAGGTGCCATTTCCAAATTTTCTCCTAATTCTGTTTCGTTTTAAGTTTCTAACTTTAATTTATTAAATCTTTCAATTAATTCTAAATCTAACTCTAAATTTTGCCCTAAATCTGCGTTGTTTTCTTCAAATGAATCAGCAGGAGAGATAGAAGAGCCTGACAGCAACAAGAGAAATTACTCATTTTTGCTCGGGATAATTCGTTAAAGAGTCATCACTCACGGATTGTCCGAAAAGGATTTCCGACGAAAATAGCCTACTGACTGCGCCAATTATAAAGAATAATATTCGGATACCGTTTTTAAAACAGTTTTATTTCTTGTTGTTTTAACTACAATAGTTTTGTACAGACTGAATTAAAAAGTGAATAAACGTAAATGGAAACAAACAAAGAAAAATCTAACTAAGCATATGAAAATAATAGTAATCTTAATTCTAGCAATCGTCGGGTGTCTGTCATTCCGAGAATAATATATAACTAGCGCCATCTTGCTGCCACCACAAATTATTCATTTAGATGATTTTGAATTTCATTTTCAAATATATCTAATTCTAATAAATTGATGTAATTCTCTGCATTTAGTATATTAATAAATATTGGCCCACAAATGTGCTGTCCTATAATTCCATATCACACGTATAAACTCGATCGATATTGACAACGTCGTTCACGGTGTTGGGTGTGGCGGGCCTTGGATGTATCCTTAACTTAACACCACCGTGATTTGATAAAATGAAAGTCGCTAATTTAACCCGGGAGGACGCGCGCCTCTGGCTCTCACGTTAAAACGCGCGTCAGGTATTTTTTACCCGATATTTGATTTTTATAAATATTTTGGGTATAAGTATAGACTAGATATTTGAGTCTTCTTTCGGGAAATAAAACAATGGATTGTGTAACTGAACTTATAAACTCTATTTGTGACATATTTAAAATATATGAACATAAAATTGTACTCAATAAAACCAAATCAACACATGATAAGACTGAACAAAAAAAAATAATAAAAAAATGATAAAATGACTTAGACATCCTCTTCTTCCAGTTCTTCATCTTCTTTCAGAAGGGGAACAACCTTATTTGCGAAACAGCCTTGGCAAATTGGTATAGAATGTTCTTGGCATATGAGTTTATTACACGCACTACAGCATGTTTTAGTTTTTATGTCTTTGCGGCCTGGGCAAACTTGACACCTTCCCGACAATACTTTCTGGCGCTTCGCTGGAAATTCTTCCTGTTCATTTTGTGGAATTAAAAGCATTATCCTTGTTTTTATGTCACTGGGTAGCGAGACAATAGTGGACCTATACTGTAAGTGTTCTCTTACTAGTTCTTTTGCCAAGTTTTTCAAGAATACTCTTCGGGCAATTTGTTCCTGCTTGTTGCTTTTATAAACAATGTAAGCATTTATCGCCGCAATATTCAGAAAACCAAAAAATATAGTTAGTGGCCACCTTTGCGACCTCCTGGATACAGAATATAATCCACATAATTCATCGACAGTATCGACTCCACCCTTAGTCAAATTGTAGAACTCTATTATTTCAGGTTTTTGCTTTTCAGATTCACTGTTGATACAGTCATCGTGATGCATAGTTGAACCCACCAAAACTACTTTACCTTTCTTAGGGCAATATGAAACTACTGTTTTATTTTCCGAGAACGCAAATAAACTAGAATATTCAGACCGATTTTTTGGAGTGACAAATGCAGTTGGTACTTCCCTTTTATTTTTTCGGATAGTTCCAACACAGGTCAAGCGATGATTTTTCAAAAGATCATTCATTAGCTTTATACTCATAAACCAATTGTCCATTGTTATGTTTCGGCCAGTTTTTTCAATTGGTTTGATGAGACGGCATACGACTGAATAAGGATCATTTTGTAACTTGTACTCACCTTCCGGTTGCTTACCAGTATATATTTCAAAGTTGTTCGTATAGTATGTACGACTCTCAGTCAAAAGAAAAATTTTTATGCCATATCTTGCTGGCTTACTCTTTATGTACTGCCTAAACGAGCATCTTCCCCTAAAAGGTTCCAATTTTTCGTCTATTGTGGCATACTCACTAATAACATAGGAGCTTTGAATGTTGTTTTTAAATAATTCAGAGAGTTCACGTATGGGAGCCAGT